AAATGAGCACCATTGGCAAAGTAGGGGGGGGGGGGGAAGCACTGGGGAAGTATATGTCCAGGCCACAATGAACGAGTTAAGTGTAATATTAACTGTATGGTGTTCCCCCATAACCAGATTTCATGCTTCAATTATAAAGTGTTGTTAGTTAATGATTGTCTTAGGTTTTCATAGTTTACAAGGTTATTATGTAATGCAACATATGTTAATGAAAAGTGCAGTGATACAATAATACATCTCATTGTTTGGTTTTAAAAAATATTTAAATTTTGTCCTTTAAGTTGTATACAAATAATTGGAAGAAGGTATGGAATGAAAATGAGAATAGTACAGCAGAGTGCAGCATTGTATACCAACCTAAACAAGGTAAATTAATTTTTTATTAGTCTTTTATTTGGTTATATTCTAGTACTGAGATTGATAAGTATTATTAGATATTTATGTAAATATATGTAACAGATGATTGTAAAACTACATTTGGTACATTTAATACATTATACTTAATAATAACATAATTTTTCTTTTACAGAAAATTATACTCTACATCAAGAAATATGCTTAAAAATATTTTAAAGAAGTTCCTGTTTATCAGTATTTGTCCCCCTCAATCATGATAAATGGCTACTTCTCCTATTAAAACAGAATTTAGTCATTTGATAATTTAAGCTGATTATTTGAAGGTACATGTGTTTGCACTTAAATGAACTATTAATTGTAGGTTTATAGTTTTCTTGAATTGCTATATAACTATGTATTTCTAGTTAGTTGATTATATGGGATAGGCTTAATTAATATGTAGATTTGTAGCACTGATTTATTTAGTTAGCTGATAATAAGTTAATTGCTTATGCAGGTATATTTGAGGCAGCAGTATTATACTAATTTTCCTATAAAACTTGGTGCTGTGGTTTTGGACACACAATCTTACAAAAATATTCTTTAACTTTACAAGTCCAAAGCTACTCTCTTTCAATTTACAAAATCATCAAAAACAGTATTTTGAATAATTTAGTCTTAATTTTATCTAATACTTATTCATAATGAAAACTACTCTTAAAATGTGTAGCTGTGACTATCTTAAGTAAATGTCATTACTATATTATATAACTTGGTGGGAAAAAAAAAAGTATCATAACTAAGTGTACATCAGCTAAATACGTATAATTATTTCATTAACTTCTTCGGTGATAATCTAAGTATTAATATGTTGCATTTAATGATTAAGTGCATCTTTTGCAGAGGTACCACATATTTTCAAATGTCTAAACTTTTCATTGTTGTACTTTTTGTTAGGATTACTTTTTATTGCAAGCAAACTATACTACATGACAGTGATCAACAGCTTAGTTTTCACTCTCCAAAGTTAGCAAGTATATTTTGAGTAGTTGTATATACTAATATGCTTAACACTAAATTAGCATTTGCAAAGCCTACAACTGCAGTAAATATCAGAATACACTAAATGTTTTGCACAAGTTCCTCTTTTATAACTTTTTCAAAGAGTAGTAGTACTAATATAAAGAAACAGATGCACATACACCGGTTATGTTGGAATATTTGATTCTCACTTCAATTTTTTTTTTTTTTTTTTTTTTTTTTTAAATGACCAACTTATTTCATCAGAAATAAGCAGTATTGTTTATGTATATACCCACAATAATGTCATTCAGCAATCATTACAGTGCTTTGTTTTAGACTACTGTATTATTGTGTCCCTATAGCGCTGTGGATAGCTCGTTGGATTTCTAATCCAAAGGTACCGGGTTCGTTCCCCAGCAGGGATGCCACCACCTTTGCCTGGTCCCAAGTCCAGGATGAGAAAGGAGGAGGGTTGGGCACGGGGCTAGCAACTCCTCCCCGTAAAAACCAACCTGCTAAAAAAAATTACTGCAAGAACAACTTCCGTCGGCGAGGTGTTGTTAGGGCCCTATGCTCCAGTGGGAGTCTACAGGGATTATTATTATACTGTATTCTTAGTCTATCTTTATGGGGTTGCTATTGTCTTTTGGGTGAAACAAAACAGAATTAGATCGTATAATAAATTTCAGTGTATACTACAGAAATTCCCCAAGTTGTATTTAAAAATACATTATTGGTGTGATTTGAATGTATTTTGGAAAACCAAGAATAGTGTATAAAAGATTAGAATTTATTTTATTTTTTTAAAGAGAAGGATAATCTAGACTTAGTTGAAAGTTATTTCATAAAATGTATATAAAATATTGGAAGGTAAGATAAAATTTCATACCGTGTATATTACAATTTTTGTTTTTTAAGTTACTTTAAACTTGTATTGTCTTTTGTTATGTTCTGAATAATTAACTTAGTATAAACATCTTTATATTTTTGACTTCAAAAATATCATTTCCATATATGTTGATACTTCGTTTTCAGTATATTAATGATTTTTTTTTAAAAAAAAAGTTTCCTTTTCCAAAATAAAATGCACAAATCATTTTTATCTTTTGGTCTTCATTGAACAGCTTCAGGACTACAGGTGGCACCTAATTCTACAAGTGAAGAGTTTTCCTTAGCTGAAGAGAATTATTATGAAGATAACATAATGACGGGACATTTGGGCTCAACTACAGATGAGGATCGTGAAAACCCAACAGACGAAGAATTATTTGATTCTGATAGCCTCTTTTCTTGCATGGAAAACCTCAGTTTTTCTCAAAGCAATTCAGTCTTGTCCTCATCAAACATGCTATTCAGCTGTAATAAAAGTAATAGTTATCTTTGTGTTTCTTCCACTCCTCTTCATAAAGAGCAAGTACAAAGAGTAAATGGCTCTCTTCAACAAACTGAATCAAGTGATTGTCCAGATGTTCTGTTGTTGGAGAAATTGAAGACCTGTTTTGATGAGGAGCGAATTAAAGACATTTATGTGCTGAGTGGACGTATACAAGATATTCTGAATCCAGAAGAAATTGAAGAAGTTCTTGCACATTGTGGTGTTTATTCTGAATATATTGATGATGAATTATTGGAAGCATTTTCATTTGCACATTCTGAGCTAAATTCATTTAATGAAAATGAGAAAATTAAGTGCCATAGTGAAAATAAAGGGTACAAGTCTCAAAAGAAAAAAACAATTCATGCAGATAAGAGTCAGATTATTGATGTGAAAAATGACATAAGAATCAGAGCAATTTTTGAGGGTTATAGAAAGAGAGAGAAGGGCAAACAGAAGGTAAATTGTACATTAATAGACAAAACAAAAAGAAAAGATAAATACGTGTGTTTCTCTCCTAGTACCTATGCATTTTTTGAAGAAAGTTTTAATAATTCTTCAACATTAAGGAAGATTTTGCCAGAACTGGAAACTACATTTCCTTCTGATGCTAATACCTTATACAATCAACCTACTGCTGGAAATAGGGTTTTTAAAAATTCATCAGCCTATAATTGCAGTAAAATAAACCAAAATATATCTATAAAGAAAAAAGATAATTCAGACAGAAGTGTTGAAATGGAAGAACTTTCACAATCTATTAAAAGCACATCAAATAAGGACTTAAGGGACTTTGAGAATTCTTCTAGGAATGCTTGTATTGAAAATGAATGTGTATCACCTGAGGAGAATTCTGAAAAAACAAATAGGTATAATTCTGTTCGTATTGAAAACAACAAAAGTGAATACGTTCTTGAAACAGCACACTTGGGCACAAACAGATTGGTGTTGGAACATACAGAAGCAGAAGAACATATTCGGAATTCGAATTATTTGAGTAACACTGATACACATCAGAAGCCAGGTCTGTTATCTCTCTTATACTTCTCCCAACAGTGAAACTTTATTAATAGAAAGTCTTTATAGAATATTGTGTGTGTGTGTGTGTGTGTGTGTGTGTGTATGTATATATAAGGGGGAAATACTTTAACTTGCAATTTGTTACAGAGCACCAGTTGGTACCAATAAAATTAATGTGGAACTCTACATGAGAGAGGGAATACAACTGTTAATGAAGTTATAATCCTGGGAGGTTTTAATTTTAGGCACATAGCTTGGGAAATGTTCAAGCTAAATCATGAAAGACAGAGGTTTTTAAAAACTCATCAGGATGTCCTTCTTCAACAATTGGTTAGGGAACCTAATAGGAACAATGCTATTTGAGATTTATTGTTAACTTCTAATATAGAAACAGTCGATAAGGTAGAAATTGGGGAATATGTGGGTGTGAGGGATCATAATTCAATTAGATTTGATGTTTTGCTGCAATGATGATGAAGAATAATGAAATTTTGGTTTCAGATTTTGAAAAAGCTAATTCTGATGAGATGAGAATTATCTTTTGTAAATTAGGCAACTGAATTAATAGGAGATGCTGATTGAATTTAAAAAAAATAATTTCTTAAAGATTCATGATAGATGAAAAAAATTTGTGGCTACAAGTGAAAAAAAACCAGGTTGGCTCACAAAAGGGGTAAAGCATTATAAATATATAAAAAAAGCTTAAATTGACTGTAATGGTGGGAGATTTGGAGGAGTATAGAAAATCTAGAGAATATATCAAATTGGAAGTCAGGAAATAAAGAAAGTATATGAAAAAAGGTTTAATGAAAGTGTGAAATAATACTAAGGATTCCTTCAAATACATTAAGGGTAAGCATAATGTTAGGATGAGAGTAGAACCTTGGAGGGATGATACGTGAAGGCTAATATCTGATTATGGGATAAGTGGGCTATTAAATTTTACTTTTACTTCAGTTTTTTACTAATAGATTTAAGCACTGTTCCTTGTCCTAAACAGTTGTTAGATGGAAATAAGATTGAACAAGATGATCACATTAATTCTGAGCTTAAGAAAAAATTGGGAAGTTTGAAAATTGATAAAGCTCCTGGGCCAGATAACATTTACCTGAGGGTTTTGAAAAAGGTTAAGGATTGGATCTGTGAGCCATTTCTATTTTCTTTTCCAAGTCCTTGAATATTAAGCATGTGTCAGGAGATCGGAAGTTTGCAAATGTTACTCCTCTTTTTCAAAGTTTTTGAAAGTCTGATAAGATTCTTTGCAAAGTCACTTAACAAAGTTTAAAATTTTGTTGTATAGTCAGTGTGGTTTCACTAGGGAAAAAAATCTTGCCTTGCTGATCTTTTGATATTTTTTAAGGTATACTTTTATAGATAAATGTATGGGTGTGGATGTGTTGTATCTGGATTTTTGGAAATAATTTGACAAGGTATGACATAAAAGCATTGTTGAAAAGTTATCTCTGTAGGTGTGGGGGAATAGGTTGGCTCATTGGAAAGAAAACTGGTTAGATGTAATAAAGTAGAGGGTTGTTATAAATGGAGTTCTATCAAATGGGTTGTCACAAGTGGGGTACCCCAGGGTTCAGTGTTAGGATCTTTGCTCTTTATATAGATGAAGGAATGGTCAATAGGTTATTAAAATTTGCTGATTACATTAGTTTCAGGGGTTGATGGCTATGAGGAGGATTTTACTGCTTTACAAAATAATTTGGATTGTTTGAGTTGGACAAATAAATGGCAGATACCTTTAATTATAACAAATACAAGGTAATGTATGTGGGGTACCACAACTCCACTTATGAGCATAATTTTGATGGGAAGAACTATTAACATTGTTATGTTTGGTTTCTGGTTTATATTGGTCTCTTAAACCATCCAAGCAGTGTGATGTTGCTAGTGGCAGGGCAAATAGGATTGTAGGTTGTATCTACATGAATATTGAGGTTATTATGTCATTGTATAGGTAATGTGGAGAACTGTTCATTCTTGGGCTCCTTGCATAAGGATGTTGAACTGTTGCGAAGTATTCAGAGGAGAGCAACTAAGATGTTACCTGGGATGAAAGGATTTTGTATGAGGATAGGTTAAGGTTTCTGAACTTATTTTCTGGTGAAAAAAGTTGTAGGGGATCTGATTGAGGTGTTTATGATTGTAAAGGGAATTGATAGTGTTGATGCATAATCTTTTTTTTTTTCATACTTGACATTGGGAACAGAAATATATTTTGCATTTGTAGGTGACATCTTCACCTAAGACAGCTTTATTTTTCTAACAGGGTTGTTGGCCTTTGGAAAAGGTTGCCTCCAGATGTGGCAGATGCTGTTAACTTAAGGGAGTTTAAGGGAAAGCTTTAATCATTTAAATGATAAGGGCTGCTTTTGAGTTTTTGATGTTTAATTTAGTGGATAGGATAGTCTAGGTTGACCAAAAGGTACATTGTTGCCCCTTAATGTTATGATTATACCTGCCTAAAACAATTACCTTTCTGGTACCATTTCTCCATTTTAACATCTTAGTTTATTCAACAGTTCAATTAAAAAGTATGGCAGTTAGAACTACAAGGATGTAACATTTAGTAAAAAAATTGTGTAATAAATGTTTGGATAAAATTAGATAATTTAACCAGCTACTGTTATTTGTAAAAGTTATGTTTAACCAGTTAATGAATATTCTATTTTAGATTGTAATAAAGTATAAAAATGTATTATGGTAATGTAAATGATTTTAGTTGTGCTGAGTTTCAATTTATTTTGTAAACATTTTTGTTGAAAACTCGTATTTCTTCTAGAATCCTCACCATGCCTTACAACAGGTGAAAAAAATAAAATACAAGTTTATCCTGATACACTTGAGTCAGATACCAAGAGTGTTGACCAGATGGTTTTCTTGCCAAGTAATAATAGAAATAATGTAGACATAATGTCAAATGCTGATGATTTGGTAACGTCAAATGATACTGATTTCCCAGATGACTTGGATGATTCTTTTACAAAACGTAAGACTCTTAAGATTATTATATTATTCCATTCTTTTATAAGATGTGTAACTGTATTGTTGTATGCCAGACATAAGGTAAGGGTTAATTTCTAATTTAGATCACTCACTTGGTTTATGTTTTACTAACCTTCAGTTATTGGCTTTAATATGCAAAAACTTGGAAAATTTGCATGTGGGAGAAGTTAAACATTATTGACATTAGATGGTATTAAGAATAGATTTTTTTTATCATAAGTTTGACTTTTTTTTTTACCCATAAAGATATACCAAAAACTAAATTGCTTTTAACTAATTGGCACACTTTTTTTTTTTTCACATTTAGTACATTTGATTTTCGTAATGCTTGGAACATAAATCTTAATACTTTTGTACAAAGTTACATTTGTTGAAGATATCTGCAACACTTTGAAAATTCTGGTAAACCCAAGTCTAGTTTTATTAATTCTAGTTTACCATGCTTTATTAGGGTAATAATATCATGGTTTGATAATATATTCAATCTGTCTGATCTTTATGTGCTTAAAACCATATTTAAAAACAACCCTAATTTAGAACTTCATATAACTATAGATTGAATGAACTGAAGCTTCTAAAATTTAGGCTTGTCTAACCAGTTTGTATTGATAATTTTGTTAGACCTTATCTAATATAATGTCAGGCAGTCAGTTGGTGTTGTTCGATATTTGAATGCTAAAATATAGATGGTTTTTCAGGGGGTAACCTTATTTCACAAAATTTCGTAAGTTGGGAGCATTTTAATCCCAAAATTACCTGAACTGTCAGAAACCACAACCTTGTTAGGCTGTCATGTAAGAATAAATATAAATATAAATGGTTATTTGAGAGATAAATGATTCTGATTGACATAATCAAAATATATTTGATTACTATATCAAGGATAGGGTATGTTGACTGTGTCTATATATTATACTTGCAATTCCTACTGGAATTTCCAGTTAGTACCATTAATGACATCTATTGGTTTTTACTAGCTGCACTTGTTTATTCCCTGTCTCACTAGTGATTATTGTTTGATAACTGGCGATGGACATTGTTGTATTTGTGGCTGTTATTGCTAAAATAAGATTAAATGATTTTACCATAATTTTGAAAATTATATCTGAGCAAGTACTTAATTTTTAGTCTATCATTGAAATTATAATCCAAATTGTATGTCTCTTCCATACATAAAATTCTGAAACAAATTTGTTTTTAATGTTAAGATTTTTTATGAGAGTAATTCTAGCATTATATGCTACATTTCAATTTAATTGGTATTACGTAAAATTTGCAGATAGTAAAATCTACATAAACATGAGTAAAATCACGGCAGTTCCTACAGCTACAGAAACACTTTTAATCTTAACCTAGAAACTTTATCTCAAATTAAACAACTAGTTAGAACTTTCTTGTTGTAGTTAAGTATGTACATGAACAAGATCTTCCAAAGAGCAAGAAAAACTAGCAATCCAGATATTTATTAGACATAAGTGAAATATTGACCAGTTAGTAGAATAGATTGTCATAGTCATATGGAAATTCTTAAACAACGCTGAAGAGCATGGAGGCAAACTTGCCCCCTTTAAAATGAAGTCAATCTCTAATTGTGCTGCTACACCTTCTCGTATATGTAGGCTCTCTGAGTAAACTGATACTTTAAATATATTGTTGTAACATTTCCTAGCAGTAGTAAGGGCACTATTTGATTGGGGGGGGGGATCCAAAGTCCAGCTCGTATAATAAAAGTTTTTATTATTTCCTCTATTAATCATTTACTTGTTAAATCTCCTCTGATATTTATGACACAAACTCTGCTTGTCTACTAACACATCTGCTAACTCAGTGTATAATTAACAATGCTGTAACAGATTCATGATCTAATTGACTGATTATCTTGCTTACTTTAATAATTATTTGATCAACAACAACTATGGTGTTTCATATTATTACAATATTTCTTCCCCCTCCCCAGTAACTAAAAGATTTGTGACATGTAAGTCACGTCAAATCTAGACATTTGGGAAATTTCCAAGCATTGCACATCATCGCTAATGATGTCAAAATTCACTATAGCAAACAATACAAATGTCTAAATTAAAATATTAAAACACCATTTGCAACAATATAGAAGCAGATGTTCAGTTATGTGTTTGAATGTGTTGGTTGAAGGTTTGTCTGGCGAACTAATTCCTGAACTGACAGCTGCTGAAGAAATTGCAAATGAGAGGAATTGGAGGACTTTTATATTTGGTGGATTAGAAAGGAAAATTGATGTCAAAGTTATTGAGCCATACAGAAAAGTCCTGTCTCATGGAGGTATGTATATTTGGAAACAGTGAAGTATCATAATTTAAATCAGTTTGGTTTACTAAACTTCCTTTACATTTCTAGGAAATTGCAATTAATAAAGAACTAACTTGTGGTGCACTAAATAATCATAATATCATAAAAAGCCAATAATTTATTTAAACTTATTATGACTAAAATAGTTGTCTTCTTGGGTTTGTGGCCATGTGCATTTTTTAAGGTACATGGTTCAAGCTCTAGTCACTACAGATGGTTATTTACCTAGACTTGAAATTGTTATAAACTAATACTGAGACTAGTATAATATAAGTATTGTGGGATACCACACTAGGATCTTTATCTGTGGTATTTATTCTTGACCCTGTCTTTGTGCTATGTAAATGGTTTTTTGAAACATTCTCTCTGCTTCAGCTTCCAGTTGGAAAATACAAGTTTTAGTTGTTGACTTGTGTTGTGTTTTTCTTTATTATTGTCCATGTTTAAGTTACCACATAATGTTTCCAGAACCTACATTTTCTAAGAATTCTTTACTTTTGCATGATGTTGGTGTACGTAAATATTACAAAGTATTATAAATTTTCCTTTTAGATATATTTTAACTTTTGCACTTCTCCAGTACTTTTTGGACACAAAATTCACTATTTAGGATATCAAAGTCATAAACTAAAAATTTGTTTTCATATTCTTCTTGTATATGAAGAATCAATTTTTGTTTTTTAGCTAAGATTTATATTTATTGTACAAATATAGAATGGAAATTATCAACTTTTTACTGTTTATTTTTCTACAGGCTATTATGGCCCTAACAGAAATGCCATCGTAATATTTAGCGCTTGTTACCTTCCAGACCGAAGCCAATGTGATTATGACTATATAATGGATAATTTGTTTTTGTAAGTATCCCTTGTTAATTACCTATTGGAAATCATACTTTCTTAACAACTGCACAATTTTTTTTTTTAAGTCACACACACACAGAAAGAGAGGGAGAGAGAGAGAAAGAGAGATGTGAATTCCTGTCAGTTATTTTTCTCATGTTTTAATACCCCATAGCGATAAGCATCAACTGATTATAGGATGATAATATGCTTATGACTTTGTACATATTTATAACAAATGAAATAAATGAAGTCTATTTCTCATAAGTCTGATGGCTTAAAACATTGAAAATTAGGTTTTGATACCCATAATGAGCATAACACAATTTTCTGTAGCTTTATACTTAACAAACAAGAAAAAAAAAAAAAAAAAAACGACAAAAAACAAGCTATATGTGATAAATTTTATGAGAGACTTCATGTCGTCTTTACTTGTCAAATAACAAACTGGTGTTTTACTATGTCATCCCAGGTTTTGTGCCTTTTGTATATTTAAGAAAAACATTTAAAATTTATTTAATTGCTGAATACTGAGATACCTCTTGCCTTTAATTTTTAGAAGAAAACCATTCTGTATCATGTGTTTATATATTTGTATGTACATGTGTAATATAATACAATGAAAATAGTTTCAACAGAACATGCAAAGTACCAGTACTAGATTAAGCCTGGAGTGCATGTCAAACAAGAGAAGTAACTGTATTTCTTGCTTAGCTGAATTTGACTAAATGATGGATGATATTCTTTACATCATAGATATCTTCTCAAAACAGTAGAAGAGTTGGTTGCTGATGACTATGTGTTGGTGTACCTTCACGATTCCTCTAGGCGAAGTAACATACTGAACTTAAAATGGCTTAAGCAGTGCTACCAAGCAATGGACAGAAGGTTTGTCAGTTACTTTGTTTCTATATAGTTAAAGCAAGGTTAGCTGAGTTGTGATTGTACATTCTGATGTAACAATTCAATTTTGTATTGTACTTCTTAGTTATTACCTTTTCAGTTGGTGGAAAACTGATTAGGATGTATAAGCATTAGTTATAAAGTTTTTTAAGGCCAGCTTAGTTAAAATATATTTTTTATGACTTGCAGTTTAGTATAATTTCACTGTTATTGCTTACTGTATCTGGAATAAAAACGTTTGAAAATCAGTCAGTTTTAGTTCTGAGATAATAGATTGAAATAGTTTTAAGAATGTATTAGTGAGAAACTAAATACTAATCTTAAGTTTATGTTCTAAGTGTGCATTAATAGCTTGTTTGAGCAATGTAAAAGATTTTGCAGCGTGGGGTTAAGGATTCTTGTATAGCTGTTTTGTACTTTAGTTATTGTTTATAATCCTTAAATTTTGACATAAAAAAGAAGTTGTTTGTGTAAGAGAAGAACAACTGTGCTATGTGATTTAAACGGGGTAAATATTTTTATTAGGATGAGGAAGAATTTAAAGGGGCTGTATATTGTCCACCCAACATTCTGGGTTAGAACAATTTTCATTATGACAAGGCCTCTGATCAGGTAAGTAACGTAGTTATAATAAATGAGGTTAGTAGTGTTTGGTGGGATGCTGCCTTATGAATTTTATATATAATGTGATTAGAACAATTGTGATCATTTCATGGTATATCAGTTATCAGATTCAGTTGGATTATATTGATATCATAGTTTTATAGTCTACCATTCTAAAAATAACTGTTACATTTAAGAAGTAAGATTTGTGTGTTTATGGATTATATAATACACTTTTGAACACTTCATGTTTTTAAGAAGTAAACTTTATTTGTTAAGCAATAAACTACATTAATTTGTTTACATGTAGGTATGCATCATCTTTCATAAAGTAAAATTGAAACCTTTCTCTTTCTAGTTAGCAAAATCATTTCTAACTAATTGGTTACACATTAAGTTTTACTTTACTTTCACTAAAACATTTGATCATCTGTAATGCTTGAACCCCTAATTTTTTGTTGTTGTTGAGCAATACAATAGCCTTGAATTTGATAAACATTAATGCTCTTTTGCTTTGTAATAAATATGGCTTATGTTCTGTTTACTTTAAGAAAATACTTTCTTGTTTTATTTTTTATTACACTTAAGTATTGGGATTCAGTTGATACTGTTGTTTCATGTGGCTTAATAATTTAATCACATTTTTGAAATACAAAGGAAATCCATTAGCTAAATTGATTTTTTCTATCAAACTGGAGGTGAGTTCTAGATGGCTATTTGAGAAAAAATACAAAACAATTTCAGCTTATCTGTGTAGAAATACAAAATAACTTAAGGTTTACCTATGAAATGTTTTTTGTATGTATGAATGAATGTATGTATAATGTATGTGCCTCAAAAACTTGCACATTCTTGAGATTAAAGCATTACTGGCTAAAGGTAAGATATACATAAATTAAGTTTAAAACCATAAACTCTTCCTACTAATACTGTAATGTCAATAATGATTAATATTCTGATTATTTAGACTAATCAGGTCAGTATATTTATATGAAGTTTAATAACTCAATTTGAGATGCTATTAGTTTTAATAAACATTTCTTCTTGAAATATAGATGGAATTTGACTGTATTAATGGGCTAAAGTTATTTATAAATAAGGCAAAATTTTTTTTTTTTTTTATTTATAAGCTTTGTTGAAAAATGGTTACATACAGAAATTGAAGAGAACATTCTATATTAAGTTTAAGAAGTAAATAGACAATCTGTTAATAGTAAATAAATAACTGAAGCTCAAAAATAATTATTTCTAGAGGAATTTTTATGTAAGGTTTGTCATAAAGTTATAGCATGAACATTAAATAGCTTAAATTTTGTAAGTAAACCAATCTAGAATATTTTGTTTATGATTGAGATGCATTCAGACTTGCATGTAGGATGTCATAACTTAAGGTAATGTGATGGCTAGCTGGCTACTGTGACTTAATATAACTTTATTTTGTTTAATAAGCATAATATCCAAGTTCTTACATATTTTGACTAGGTCACTTTGGAATTTAAGAAACTTTATTTTCATTTGTTTACTGAGTAATTTTAACTTTTTTTTTTTCTTCTTTCATATTTTGAAAAACCTGATGTTGATTTAACATGACTGTTTATATTTAGCCAAGTTTAAAACTGTGCTGAATAAGTTTTTGTTTACAAAAGTTTTGGATTTTTGATTTATTCATTAGGTTTATTAATGAACTCTTCACTTCAACTAGTTCTTTGGAACCTAATGAAATCTGCATAGTTAAATTTTTGTTGTTCTTATGGTTCACACAGATTTCAAATTGAAGGTTTAATCCTTGTAATTAATCTTTCAGAAACTTTAAAGTTTGTGGTAAGGTATCAGTTTCAAATTGCGTTTAACTTGAGTATTGTGTATACATGCAGCTACTCTTTTCTTCTAAGCTATTGGCTATAGCCAATATTGTTTGTTTTATAGTATTTGGTGCATCTCATCTCCTAATAAACTGAAATAATTCTTAACAAAAACAAATGTTGAATTGTAAAAGTGAATTCAGTGGATGGACTTGTCTAATAAATTGTTGCAAAAAATGCATTTCAATCTAAAGCAGAGTAAATGTATGAAATAAATGTAAACTATCATTTTCTACATCATTTACTGAGCTAAAGTACTTAAATTTTAGGGAAAATTCTAGTTTTCAGCAATACTTTTTCTTTTATTTCATTTTTAAAATTATTTAATATTCATTACCGTAAAGCTTCAATCTAAACTTGCTATTGGAATTTTTTGTTATGGGTTGAATTTTGTTTTATATAGTAACAGTTATACCTGTATAATACTCAGATTGCATGGTAACTCAAAGATAGAAAAATTGTTATAGAATGAATTATTTCATGTTAAAGAAATTAACTGTCACAGTAACCTGAATTTTTGTAAGGTAAACCTTTCTTGTACATGTATGATACTTGCATGCTAGGTGTGTATAAACTAAGACAAAACAAATGCTATTTATAAGTATTCATGATTCCACTATTTCACATGCATTCAGCTGATATTTTGTGGCATAAAATATTTTAGAGAAACTTACTGTTAAACATAACAAATGGAAGCTTATATTTTGATTTCTATTTTTATCTGCAAGTAAATGTGGCTTATCTTTTAAAACTAATTGCAATGTTTTCTTGATTTATACCTATATTCACAGTACCAAATTCATGCAGAAATTGCACTTTATGAACAGTTTGCAGGACCTCTTGGACATAATTTTTATAGACGACATGCTCATTCCTGGTGAAGTCAAACAGTAGGTGGCCTTTGGATAAATTATCTTTTTTTTATATTTTATGTCATTCTTTTCCTTTCAAATGTGTTTTATGGAAAAGCAGTATTCTTCTGTTGTATATGTTTTGAGGGTTTGTATTTTTTATTCTTTTTCAAAATATTTAGATTTTATTTACTCTCTGAGTAAGTGATTTTTTTTTGTTTTCCTAATTCAACCTGTGATTTTTACAAGTTGAGTTTCTTGTACAGTTTCCTACATTTTTAAGGTGCATCTATTTTTAATAGAGAAGCATCTTGCAAAGATTGAAATAGTGTAACAAATAAATTTTAATTTGTATCTTTTGGACTCTGCAATAGTACCTGATATAGATGCAATTATAATTACATTTCTTTCTTATTATAAACGTAAGTAAAACGTCTGAATATGAATAAGTATTTTCAAGGGCAAATATTTCTTTACACAGTTTGGCTTATTTTATGAATAAAACTTATAACTTCTGGAAAACATGTTAAGGAAACTTTTACATAAATAGATTATATGTAATAACATACTACATGGTTATGTCTACATCTAGACAAGTTTCATTCAATTAAGCCCAGAAATGTTAACTTTCCTATTGTGAAAGCCCTGTCCTGGGGAGATTATACTAAAATACTTTCACTGCTCCTAAAGTAATAAGTTTTCTTTCTCAATAATAACTTGATTATAAGGGGGGGGGGGGAGGATAACTTCATTTGTGTGATTGTAATGTTTATTGTATGGTGCACTGTTTTAAAAGTTACTGATATTACATATTTAATGTTAAAATTTTGATAGTTGTTAAATATTTAAGAATTAAGTGATTTTATCTCGGAACTGATTATACTTAAAGTAATTATATATGCTTTCTATATCATGTTTTCTTTCGATATGTTATGAGTTTGGGGATTATGGTTACTGTTCTTTAAAGTGGTTTTGCTGTGCTAGTTATCTGGTTTGTGCAGTAAATATGCTTTTTATGCTATTAACTTTAGACTATAAGCAAAAATACCTTTCTCTCATAGTCAGGAACAGAACTATATATCTAGTTACATAGTATTGAAATAATAAACATGCAGCAATGTCTGTATGATTGAGAAGGTATACTCATCTGGATGATATTGCCTATCTGATTCTCTAGAACAGTGGTTCTCAACGTGTGGGGTGATATGGGGCTCCCCCCCCCCCAGGGGGCCACAGCAAATTCCGAGTGGGTCAATGAAACTTCACTGCCTAATTAGAATATTTCAACAACCAAAGCTATATTCAAACGTGACACATTATTTCTGGATAAGTAGTGAAATAGCTGATAAGTTTCCACAGCTCTGGGAGAAGGCAAAGTTGTATTTTATTGCTTTTCCCTCATCTTATCTTGTTTGAGTCGGGTGACTTATTTGCTACCAAAAATACGTAACTGCCTTGATGTTGTGAAGAGAGGTGATATTTGCTTACCACTGACCACACTGCAACAGGACATTCAAAAACGTTCAAGTGTTCGTCAGGCCCAAGGATCACACTGAATAAAATGTCCATGACTAACAGAATATTTTTCACTTGTATAAATAAACAGTATAGTTAATTTAAAAAAAAAAAAAAAAAAAAAAAAAAAAAAAAAAAAAAAAAAAAAAAATTTTAAAAACAATACAAATATTGTAAAAATATTATAAATCAACAGTG